CAGCCTCCCAAGTAGCTGGGATTACAGGCACCCACCACCGCACTCAACTAATTTTTGTATTTTTACTAGAGATGGGGTTTCACCATGTTGGCCAGGATGGTCTCGATCTCTTGATCTTGCGATCTGCCCGCCTTGGACTCCCAAAATGCTGGGATTACAGGCATGAGCCACGGTGCCTGGCCCATTTTTTTTAAAGCTTAAACTGCCAACTTTGGATCCCCTTTGGGATAACAATGAAGGCTGCTCTAGCTTATTGTAGGCTGACAGTTAAAATATTAGGCTTTCCCTACGGTGGCCTGGTTAGACATAGAGCAATGGAACAGGATAGAGAGCCCAGAGACAAATCCTTGAATGTATGGCCAATTTTTTTTAATAGGAGTACCACAATTGTTCTATAGGGGAAGGACAGTCTTTTCAATGCATGGTGCAAGGACAACTAGATATTGACATGTAAAAACCAAGTGGGATCCATACTTTTACCACAGACAAAAATTAACTCAAAATGGATCAAAGATCTAAATGTAAGACAGGAAACTATAAAACTTAGATGAAAGCATAGACAAAACCTTCATGATATCGGATTCAACAATGTTATCTTAGCTATGACACCAAAGGCACGGACAACCAAACAAAAAATAAACTGAACGAACATGAAATTTTAAATTTTGTACATCAAAAGACAATTATTTGAACAAAATAAAATGGTAACCCATACAATGGAAAAAGATATTTGCAACTGATATATCTGATCAGGAATTAACATACAGAATATATCGAGAACTAAAGATATTAACAAAAACCTGATTGAAAAATAAGGCAAAGGACTTGAATAGATACATTTATCCAAAGAAAACATACAAATGGCCAAAAAGAACATGAAAGGGTGCTTGGCATCATTAACCATTAGGGAAATGCAAGCCAAAACTACAAAGACATACCCAAAATAGAATGGCTATTATAAAAAAAAAAAAAAAGAAAAAGAAAAAGAAAAATCAGAAAATAGGCTGGGCGTGGTGGTTCTTGCCTGTAATCACAGCACCTTGGTAGGCCAGGCGGGCAGATAACCTGAGGTCAAAAGTTCACGGCCAGCCTGGCCAACATGGCTGAACCTCGTCTCTACAAAAAATGCAAAAGTTAGCTGGATGTGGTGACTCATGCCTGTAATCCCAGCACTCTGGGAGGCTGAGATGGGCGAATCACTTGAGGTCAGGAGTTCAAGACCAGCCTGACCTACATGGTGAAAACTGTCTCTACGAAAAATACAAAACTTAGCCTGGTGTGGTGGCACACGCCTATAATCCCAGCTACTTGGGAGGCTGAGGCAGAAGAATCGCTCGACCCCGGGAGGTAGAAGTTGAAGTGAGCTGAGATCACGCCACTGCACTCCAGCCTGGGCAAAAGAATGAGACTCCATCTCAAAAAAAAAAAAAAAAAAAAAAAAAATCAGAAAATAACAAGTACTGGTAAGGATTTAGTAAAACTGAAACCCTTGCACACTGATGGGGTGAGGGGGGAAGTAAAATAGTATGGCCTGAGTGGAAAACAGTATGGTAAAAAAGTTAAACATAAGAATTACCATATGATCCACAAGTTCTACTTCTGGAAGGCAGTTTGGCAGTTTCCTACAGAACTAAACATACTCTGACCATATGATCCCGCAATTACACTCCTGGGTATTTACCCAAGAAAGTTAAAACTTTCCATCCATACAAAAACCTGCACATGAATGTTAACAGCATCTTTATCTGTAATTGTCAAAATCTGAAAACCACCAAGATGCCCTTCAGTGGGTGGACGGATGATCTGTAGTATACCAGACGATGGAATGCTATTGAGTGCTAACAGGAAAGGAGCTATCAAGTCATGAAAAGGCGGAGCAAACTTAAATGTACGTTACTAAATGAAAGAAACCAACCTGCAAAGGCTACATCCTGCAGGATTCCAGCCCTATGACACTCTGGAAAAGGCAAAACGACGGAGACAGTGAAAAAACCAATGGCTGCCAGGGGTTAGGGGAGGGAGGGGTGAGTAGGCAGAACACAGGTGATTTTTAGGGCAGGGAAACTACTCTCTATGATACTACCATGGAGGATACATGCCATTACACATTTCTTCAAACCTACAGAATGTACACACCCAGAGTCAGCCTTCGTGTAAACTGTGGACTCCAGGTGATAACGATGTGCCAATATAGGATCATCAATTATAACAAACCCAGACTCAGATGTGGGGATGTGGATAGTGGAAGAGGCCATGCATGTGTGGGGTTAGGCGGAGGGGAGTATGTGGAAGATCTCTATACCTTCCACTAAAATTTGCTGTGAATCTTAAGTGTCAAAAAATGTAATTTTCTTAAAAAAGATGTTTGACATCATTAGTCCTTAGGGAAACACAAACTTATGCTTATAAGCCACAATAGGATTCTACTGTCTACATTTCACAACAGTTAAAATTAAAGACTAACCCTAAGTGTTGATAAGGATGTGGTGCTTTAATCCACCACTGGTTGAGAACAGAAAATGGTACCACTTTGGAAAACCACTTAACCATTTCTTAAAAGGATAAACATGCCTACCAGCAGATCAAGCTACTCCATTCCAAGGTATTTATCCAAGAGGAATGAAAATATGTTTATATGAAATCTTGCTTATAAATGTTCACTTTTGTAAACATTTTATTTATTGATAAAGCTACATTTTAAAAACAATCCCAAAATCCATGAATGGGTAAGTGGAAAAACAAACTGTGGTATATCGATACCATTAAATACTTCTCAGCAATAAAAATGAGTAATGTATGTTACAACACAAATCCCTAACCTAAGTCAGACAAAAACAATACACACTGTCAAATTCCATCACACGTCACTGACCAGCAAATTGGGGTCTGAGGCAGGAGGACAGCTTGAGCCCAGGAGTTCAATTTTTTTTTTTTAAAGAGAAAAAAAATCTACAAATGCAAACTGACGTATACTGATAGAAAGCAGACCACTGGTTCCCTGGAGAAAGGAGAGGGCACAGGAAGCTCTTACTGGTGACTGGGACGTTTGTAATCTCAAATGTGATGAGGATTTTACAGGTGCAGAAAAACTTATCAAACTGGGTGGACAAAGCAATGAGGAATGAAAGAGGCAATAAATCAATAATGTATTGAATATTTCCTCAATTCTCTTTAAGCTATGGAAAATCTGAAGTACACCTGAACTATGTGATGTTTATTGTACATCAGTTATGCCTCACTCACGCTTTACAGGAACGGGGGAAAGAGTAGAGGGAAGGAGATGAAGGAGGAAGACAGAACAGAGGGCATTCTTTCTCTTCTTTTGAAAATATTTTTAAATACCCCTGTTAAAAAGAATCACCTTCTTTTGAAATTAAACTTTCCAGAATATAGTTGAACATGTTGCTATTTCACTTTTGATAATGTTCCCTATCTTGTATCTTCAGACAGATTCTCACATGTTATTTCACTTTTGGTAAAGTTATCTATCACCCATCTTCGGGTGGATTTTCACCTGCTCTTTCACTGTTGATAACATCTTCCGTCCTCAAGACAAATCTTCACATCTATTTACTCTCATCTATCTTCCATCCTCTGAATACACTGTGACCCCAGTTCAAGATTAGGCCATTTCAATTTAGTTTGAAACTTAAATTGTTTATTTTGAAGCCATTTTACTTCCCACCATGAGATTCTCACTCCCTCAATGTATAATGCCTTTTTATCTTTTGTAAAAATTTGTTTTAATGACTAGCATTCCTTTCCTTTGCCATCTTAAATTCCAATGTACTCTAACATGACTCTAATTTATCCCAATGTTCTGCCATTCCCAAGTCATTAACCAGTTATTGGTGAACAAGGGAGATGTAACCAAATTACATTGCTGAATACTGGCACTTACTGCCTCAGATTTAGAAAACTGCTCATGTAGATGGGTAATACACTTTAAGCAAATTCAAGATAGCAAATTCATATTTACAAGGAACAAACATGACTTAATTTTTGTGCCTTTATAAATACTTGATTCATTTTACTCACTAAAGCAATATGTTTCACTGAAGTTTAAAAAAAAAAACAAAAAACTGTTAAAGAACCTCTACACATTTTCCCTCTCAAGTGACAGTTTCTGATTTTGACAGCCTTAAGCCAATGACATTATTCTACATGGCTGTACCTTATAGCATCAAGGCCTGGCCTCTCTGGCCCTGTCCAGTGCATTCCCTGGTCACTGGGATAACGAACTGTCCAAGGCAAGTGGGGAGGGGGAGGGGACAGGAGCTGGTTAAGAACCACTGAGACCATTACACAATTGTGGTAATAAAAATGAAAACATGAAAATTCCCACAGAGGTTTGCTCTGACAGTGGCGTTTCCAGTAATGTGTGGTACGCTGCGTAACTGGGCCTGAGCATCTCTTCCCAACTACTCTCTCCCTTTCCATTTTTATAGCCACTACTCCATACTGAGGTCCTTACAACCCTGCACGAGAATAACAGCTTCTATCCAGCTGATCTGAGGTTTGCTTTTCCTCCAAGTCATTGTCTCACACTCTTGCAAAATTTGTCTTCCCCAAGTCTCTTATTTTCTTCATGTCACTCACTCCCTCATCAACATGTTCAAACGTGAATGGCTTCTAAGACTCGCAAATGCAGCCTCAATTGCTCTGACTTATAATACCACAGCCTTCCCTCTCTATCGCCCTCGCTTTACCTAAACTGTCTTACTCTCAAATCCAACATTAAAGTTCCATCTCTGCATTTTTACTGACACTTCGCACTACTAAATAGGATTCATCTTTTGAGACCTTACATTCTCCATGGCACCCTCCCTAAACAGGGCCTCTCTCATCCTCTCTGCATCCATATAAGAGTGAGTTTAAAGTAGCATTAAAAGGAGGCAAAGAAAGATACATTGTTTAGAGAAAGTTAAGAAGCTAAATAAAAAACAAAAAATAAAGCAGCCCATATTCTCTGTGAAAATGAATCCATAAAACATGTTTACCTGTTTCACTACTTTCAGGAAGAGAGTCATATTCCGCAGGACCCAGAGTGAGAGCATTCATGTCTGCTGGGTCCGACTCCTGTGGGTCTGGCAATGCTGCATTCTCATGGCTCTGGTCACCATCACCACTGGCATCCGATCCTATAGTTAGAGGAGTTTACCCCAAAAGGGCAGGGTAAGAAGAATAACTTTCTCTTAAAACAAAGCTTACTCTAGCAGTTACCCAACTTTTTTAACTGGATTATAAAAGACTTGTGGGCTCTTCTTAAGCACTGTCAACCATGACACAGTTGTGAACGAACATCTTAAAGGCAGATTAAAGTGGAAACAAAAGCACAGGCCTGAAAGCAGGGCCACTGCGCACCACAGCCACGCTCAACTCACCCTGCTGGCCACAGTCTGAGTGGTGGCCACGCGCCTCCTCCCACGCGGCACTCACATTTGCACTGCTTGCTTCCAGATGTAACACAGGAGCCCCCCACACTTCTGCATTAGGGTTCAGCTCTGAAACCTTAGTTGCTGGTACCTAGGAAGAAATGTGAGATAAACATTTGTATCCAAATGTCAACCAAATACAATTTCGCTCATTAATGCAGAGTTAAGAGACATCTGATTTAGGCTCCAGAGGCTGAGCCAATCTGTTTACACACACCTTCAGGGTAAAATCAGGTTCAGAATTAAAAAAAAAAAAAAAAAATGCAGTCAAAATTCCTTTAAATTACCCACAAGGTTTAAGTTCCTCCTCCCAACACCAAGACTTGCAGGGGGAAGGACAGGCCTGCCGTCAGAAAGATTCAGTGTTTCACAAACTGTGTACCTGAGGAAGAGCTGGTGACTTCCTATTCTACCTAATAAACTCACAATTCACGGTTTTACAAACTTGAATACAATGTAGATGAACACAATTCTAATTAGAAAGCTTCAAAAAGTCAGCCAGACATGGTGGTTAACGCCTGTAATTCCAGTACTTTGGGAGGCCAAGGCCGGCAAATCACCTGAGGTCAGAAGTTCAAGACCAGCCTGGCCAACATGGTGAAACCCCATCTCTACTAACACAGAATTAGCCAGGCGCGGTAGTGTGCACCTATAATCCCAGCTACTGAGGCAGGAAGAATCACTTGAAACCAGGAGGTGGGGGTTGCAGTGAGCCAAGATCACACCATTGCACTCCAGCCTGGGTGACAGAGAAAACTCCATCTCCAAAGAGAGAGAGAGAGAGAGAGAGAGAGAGAGAGGGAGAGAGGGAGGGAGGGAGGGAGGGAGGGAAAGAGGGAGAAAGAGAGAGAGAGAACTTCAAAAAGTCACAAACAAAAGGTGTAGAAAATGAAAATTGCTCCTAAGAACGACGGTGTTCTAATAGGTCTGTCAGGGGTACTATAGGATAAGAAAGCTCAAGCATCCTTTGAAAAAGAAGAAGAAATATCTCACATTTTTCACAGAACTATCTGTTCCCATTCCCGATAGAGCTTCAGTATCACCTTGAAAGAGAATCCACAGGTGACCAGGAGGCTGCCAGTCCAGCGTTCTGGACATGGGCTCTCAGATCGCTGGGGCTGAAGCCAAAGCTGCCATGGACAGCTATGTAACCTGGGCTCAACCTCACCTGGAAGACAAAATTCCTGGTTCCCCTCTAATGGGGATGCTGACAGTACCACCTCCCACCATCAACCTGATGGCTAGCGCTCGTTACATCCTGAGCTCATCAGCCATCATGACAGTCAGGCATGCTAAGTTAGTCCAACAGGGCAGCCCTCTACCCAAAACCCTCCCCCATCGGCTTGGCTCATTTGGAGTATAAGACAAAGTTCCCACTGTGGCCACAGCACCCTCCTGTGCTCAGTGCTCCCTGGCCTCATCCACTTGCAGGCACACTGACCTCCTTGCTGTCTCTAGGCACAATGGTACTTGTGCTCTTCCCGTCTGTCCAGAACATCCTGACCAGAGACCCGGGACTGGCAGTCCTTCCTGACACAGTATATAAACCTACAACAGTCCCCCAACATGTGGAAACTCCCTAAACCCCTGATTTTTCTGACACAAGCTAGGCTTTCTTAATGTTTCAATGAGGACCTATCCCAAATTCTTTACATTTTTGTTAAGTACTGGTGATAGGGCAGAGAATTGGGTTCCTTCAAGAATGTTATAATCAACAAACACCAATTCTTCAATTTTCCCTCTTGGGTCACATCTAAACTTTGCGTTTGGCCTCTGGTTCTGTGGTGTTTCTTGCTCTCTTCTCTCTCATCCACCCATCTTTCCAACAAGTGCCTTGACACTTGCACCAGCACGGCTGTGACAGGCACGATGCTGAGCAGGCAGGTGTGATGGTTAATGAAGCAGACAGGAGCTCATGGAGCTGTGTGAGGGTGCAGATGACAGCCACAAGTCACCCACGACACTGCCTCTGGCAGCACTTCCGCCTTTCTGCCTGTTCTATTGCCTTCGTAAATTCATTTCTCTATTCTGTTTCCTACCCTAACTCTTCCACACACGGCCTTTCCTAATGAGACCCAGTCTCTTCACCACCACCACACAGTGCAGTTTTCCGGCCTTGGTTCCATTCCGTCCACTTAGCTGGCTGCCCTCAGCTCAGGCACATACTACACATGCTTTAAATTCCCAACACAAACTAACAGTAACCTTCTCTATTATTAGTACGTTTTGCAGTTGACTGCCCTATAGTACCAAAATACATTTTGTAGTTTATTAATACAGACCAACAGCACTTTGAAAGCAGTGGCAGCAAGGCTGCTGGGCTCCCACAGCTCTTGTGGCTAGAATAGTGTCTGTGTTCCTTCCATTCCAGGGTGGTGTCACCATGGGCACTTTGCTCACTGCAGCATTGCTGACAGCTAGCACAGTCCTGAATTCAGGAGGGAGGTGCTCAAGATATATATATCATGAATGAATCAATGTTTAATAAATAACAGGAATTTTCCACTATTTTCCACTATCTGACAACTTCTGCAAGGTTTTATGCCACAAATTAATACGACTCTACCCTTAAACGATGACTACCTCTTAGTGAAGAAGTCCAAATCAAGTGTATGCAGTTAGCAAATGTTCAATAAATTCTGTGACAGAAGAGATATGACCAGGAAAGAAAGAATGAAGATGTCTTTTGAGGCTTAGTAACATACAAGGATTTACCAGGTACTGAGCACATTCTGTGCGCTTACCTGTACTGAATCAGAACAAGTCTTGGAGGTGGTTATTAACTAGACTCATTTCACAAATAAAAAAAACCAAGGCAGAGAAAGGTTAAGTAACTTGCCCATAAAAACAATGGTAATTGTGTTCAGCAAAATATAACATTAATCAAGAGTTCATTAAACTTATAATTTACAAGAGAAATAGTTTGTATTAAACAAAGATCTGGATCTCCTACTATTTCTATAAAATATGGTAATCCTCTTGCAGTCATATGGAACTCTAAATGATCATCAAGAACTCCAGCATTGGCCAGGTGCGGGCACACCTGTAACTCCAGCACTCTGGGAAGCCAAGACTGGCAGATCACTTGAGGTCAGAAATTCAAGACAAGCCTGGCCATCATGGTGAAACCCCATCTCTACTAAAAATACAAAAATTAGCTGGATGTGGTGGCGCACACCTGTAATCCTAGCTATTTGGGAGGCTGAAGCAGGAAAATTATTTAAACACAGGAGGCAGAGGTTGCAGTAAGCCACGATGGCACCAATACACGCCAGCCTGGGCAACAGATCAAGACTCCACCCCCCCCATCCCCCCCCCCCTAAAAAAATAACAAACAAGAAGAACTGCAGTGTGTCTGCTTGGCTATAAGTCTTATTTTCCATTAAAATTGTATGGCTAAGCAATGGTTATTAAAACTGAGGCAAGCTGACCTTAACAGCCACATTCCTAAGTGAACATCCCTGAGTCCTGATGCTTTAAATAAATTCTTCTACCCCACCCCACCCCGGGCAAAACACTATGCTCCACTTTGAAAAATAACATACCAATTAGTAAGTATGTACGTTATGGACATGAGACAGGGTCTCTCTGACAAGTTACTGAGTAGGAACTGGAGTGACTGATGCCAGCAAAGGGGTAGTAGCAGGTGAGGCAATAGAAAGGAGGTGAGAGACTAGGGAAAGACACATGCCATGCAAGCACAAACCACTCCTCAAGTTGCACTAAAAACCTCAGAAACTCAAGGCAATTTGCTGACTTCAGAACCATACAAGGCTCTCCCTCCAGTTCTTTATTTAGGAAATGGAGTAACAGCTGCTATACTAAGATTTAGTAAAAAAAAAAAAAACACCTGTAACAGCACTTTGAAAATTGAAGTTCTGAAAGGCAAAGCACCACTGTTAAATGTGGTAATGCCAACAGTAGAATACTGTTTTGCGAATACCTCATAATGGAAAAGCTAACTGAAAACTGGAAGCAACCTCTCACTTAGGCATTGTTCATGCTCTGTGTTGATGGCTAGGCAGTGACACTGGTAGACAACTGCAAATTACGTCACTTCTGTAAAAGATTAACTGCAGATTATCTTAAAGATCTAGTTTTATACTGCTGTGCCTCCACAACTATTTAAGAAGCAAAACTCATGAATTTGAACATAACTCTTTCTGGAAAAACTCCCAGTGTGGGCATGGAAATAAAAGAGGTTGACGGATCATTCCTTACACTGTAGAATGGGATTTCTGCTTCTTTATTCCCATACAGAAGTGTTGACACTTGAGTCATCTCTATCTCCTTAACAATCAATACTTTTTCTTGCTTCACTGCCCAAAAAAATTACTAATAAACCATCAGTTGAATAATGAGATCTTGGTACTCTGAGTACATGCTTCTAATCACACTGTTTTGATAAATGTCTGTTTTGTGAGCAAAACTAATTTCCTGTTGTTGAATGATGGTGGCATTTATTACAGAATTTCTGGAAAGATGATCAAACTAGCTACCCATAGAATCATTTGCTAAGATTCTTCCAAACCAGAGGGGCAGCCCCATCTCGGGGTTCTAAAAGAGCTCCACGGTGATTCTAACTCCCAGAAGACAGAACCAACATTTTATAGCCAGTTAAAATCAGGAAATTCTATCTGCCTCAGATACAGACAAGGATATCAGGAAGCACCGATTTTTATCTAAGTTTGTCTTCTGCAGTGTGACTTATACCTTCAATGGGCTCACATGCTTACTGCATCAACTACACTGCCCACACGATAAGATGCCCTCAAAGGGCTCTGATCCACACTGCGGCCAGGAGGACAGAACAGCTGGCAAAATTCAGACAGAAAAAAGTCAACACAGAGCTGTGCAGGACAACTAGCAGGGCAGGCCTTAGTGCTAACAAGAGTTTGTACCCAAACTCTGGCTTAATACACCAAACAAGAAATTCATATTTTCCAATTTGGAAATCATTAATGGTATAGCAATTCACAGCCATATGTAAGCATTCAAACAACTGCCCAGTGTTTAGAATAAATCTGTATTAGTTTTAAGCTAAAAACAATTAAAATGGGCCAGGCCCGGTAGCTCATGCCTGTAATCCCAGCACCTTGGGAGGCCGAGGTGAGTGGATCTCCTGAGGTCAGGAGTTCAAAACCAGCCTGGCCAACATGGCAAAATCCCATCTCTATTAAAAATACAAAAATTAGCCGGGTGTAGTAGTACACGCCTGTAATCCCAACTCCTTGGGAGGCTGTGGCACGAGAATTACTTGAACCCGGTATCACTTGAACCCAGGAGGCAGAGGTTGCAGTGAGCCAAGATCATGCCACTCCAGTCTGCGTGACAGAGAGAGACTCCGTCTCAAAAAATAAGTAAATAAAAATAAAAAAAATAAAAAGAATTAAAATGTATAGCCTAGCATACCATAGCACAACAGTAAACACACATAAAACATACTTACGAACTGTCCATCTCTATCATGCCATCCCCAAATAACACCGTCCTCTGACACCGGTAGCTGAGGAGTGTTTTCTGAAAACGAAGCAATTTCCAAGTCCTGTGGCTGATGGTATAGATCCTCACTAAATATTTTTTCAACTTCTAGTACATCTTTGGTGACTGTATCAGTCCAGAGATAGTCCACTTGATATCCACCACAACCACGGGCCAGTCTTTCAGAAAATACTGGATTTGCTAGCCCTCCCATTGGGTAATAGGAAAATTCACCCAAAAAACGGGAGACTCCTTCTGGGAAACTCTGCCAATCCATTTTTGAGGGATGTTCTGATCTATTTAGGACACCTTTTGTGAGTGATAAAATGTGGTCACTACTTGATACGATAGCATCCTTGCTGTCCATGGGGACAGCAGGAATCCCCTGGGCTGCATCACAGGGGAGAGCTGTGTATCTGTCCACGAGGGTGGGATCAACACCAACCAAAAAGAATTGCCCATCGGAAGTGTCACGTGACTCTATTTTTTCAAAAATCACCTTAGCTTTTCCCATAAAACCCATTTCACCATTTAAAGTAGATTGTTTAAGAGTGGACTTGGCATTTCCTTCTTTGAAACGGTATGCACATTCATTTGTCCCACATGGACCCAGGCAGTCCATAATTTTGGGGTCAATACTTTCTTTCTCCAAATAAAGTCTCTCTTCCTCTTCTTCACATGTTAGTTTTGGTTTACTCAACCCTGATGTATTAGTACCAAAGACAACAGAAGCTTCTTCAATTGATTCAGAGTAAATTCCCTTCCATTTTCGGCTTTCACCACTACTAACAGATTTCTCTACTGTAATTTCTGACTTCTGTATAACTGGATTAAAACTTTGACTTAAAGGTGGTAACACATTAAGACCATTGTATTTGCCAGCATATACTCGGTGTGTTTCATAATTTTTTTCTATTTGATTAGTCTCAAAATCAGGGTTCTCTGTTGTACTAAAACTAATGCAGGAGAGTACATCTTGATTTGGCACTGCCTCACATCTTTGTGCACCTGTTTCCCACTCACAGGTTGTTTGAGAATCTGACTTGACAGTCTCTGTGTCATCTTCACTGGTCTCTCTATACTCCGCTTTCTGTGATTCTTTTTCATCACTTTCTAACATTTGGGGGTCACTCAGCTGGTCTCCTGACACACTGACTAAACTCTTCACACATATTTCACCCTCTGTTTTGTCACTTGGGCTTATTTCCCTCTCTTCTTCCTCTGTGCAGGTGAAAATCAATGCGGAGGAAACACAGTTACTCTGAAGAGACCTCGAGTGACAGTGAGACTTGCCATTGGGGGGCACTCCTCGTGTCACGCTAAGCTTCGAGTTGTCTGTCCTCTGCACTGTCCCCTCCATGTCCACCACACGCTCCACACAAGTTAGGTCACAAGACTGTGTCGAAGCCTCATCTGCTTGACACCAAGATTTCAACTCAAAAGCCCTTATACCATGACCCTTAGCCCCCAAAACGCCAATTCTGTCCCCTTCTTGGTAAAAGACACTATTTTCAGATTGCAGAGACAGCTCTCTTCTGTCTGCCAGCAAGGGACTTCTGGCCTCCAGGCCACAGTCTCCTCTGCGCTGCGCCTTCCTCACTGGCCCAGGAACAGATTCCAGCTCCCAGCAGTCATCAAGCTGGCTTGGGGGTGCTTCTCTTGAATTAGTGTGACCTGAGAGACACCCACTTCCAAATCTCACTGCAGTGACAGGCCTCTTGGGACTTAAATCAATGCTATCTAGATCAACGGGAAGGATGCTATCTGATTTGCTAACATCCAGGTAGAAACAATCATTGTCTCTTAGTGGTTTGACAGAGTTATTTTCTCCCTCCTTTTTAGAATGTAAATTCTGGTCGACACCAGCCTCCTGGTCATTACCCCCTGCAACACACGCAGTGTCAGTAAGGAAGCTAACAGGTGAATGATCCATCTCACTTCCTACTCCTGAGTTACGGCTCTCAGTTTCTTCCAGAAGGACACACGCGCATCTCAGTGAGTCACTGTCCATGTTATTATTTACTTCAGGGAGTAGGTCAACATTATGTAGTGCACTACTTTCTGTGTAATTTTTAGGGAATTCAGTGCAAGCTTCTGCCTGTAAAGACTCGACCTGTGTGTTATCAGCATTTGCTTCACAAGGTGCATGGCTGAATGCCACAAGTTCAGGGCAAGGCTGGGTTTTCCCACTGCATTTTCCTGTCCTTTCACCTGGACCCAGTGCGTCCTGGGGCAACAGCTCTTCCTGTGGTGGCTCTGGCTCGCCAGCCCCTGACACGGAACGCAGGGCTGAAGGCACAGCAGAGCGACACTCTCCTCTTGCAGTTACTCTGCCTGCCCAGGCGCCCAGCTCCTCTCCTACACTCGGGAAGGCAGAGTCTGCAACACAAATGCTGTGAAACTCACACTTTCTTAAATCCTGACATTGCTGATGACCAACACAAACAGGGTTTCCATCTTTCTTCTCCTTATTGGGTATGTCTAAAGACTTATTCTCATCACCGCTACTGGGGTGAATGCTGACCATTTCCTTCTCTACTAAAGAGTTTTTACAAATAGCTGGGTAACAGTGCAGATGGCCACTCACAAAGGTTTCCTCCTGCAGTCCTCGGTCAGAAGACACTGGCACACATGAGAAAAGTTCCTCTTCATAACAGCCTCGGCTGCCACTACCCACACACAGTGGATCACAGGATCCCTCAGAATTCTGCTCATTAACGACAGTATCTGAATTCTTGTGACTTACATCCAAGTTTTCATACCTTGTTAAGAATGTATATGCAAGAGAGGAAATAGGGTTCAACAACCGCGTAGGTCTACGACCCCGTTTGTGCTCAGACTCAGCAAAAATACTTGTCCACGCACTAAGGCCAGCAGCTGCACTGCTGGCACCAACGCCAACACCGTGAAGCGGCTCACCTTCAGAGGTACCGAAGAATGAAGATAAAGTTTTACTTATCTTGTTTTCTGGTTCCTTCTCCTCCACAGATTTTTGTAACAGGCCAATTTTTTCACTGTCATTGTCACTACTTAGTCCTTTGCTGAAGCAACAGCCCATGTTTGAGAGCGCACAAGCACACAACACGGGTGCCAATCCCAAGCCTCCACAGACGTACCTGACACTAACTTGCTATGGTTTCTGAGGAGAAGCCAACACCCAGAGACCAAAAATAACCCCTTGCACAGTGGTCACATGTTCCTGCCACTCAAACCCAAATCCTAATGACAACAGAGCCTGACCTGACAACTAGCACACTCCATGTGCTCAATTCCAAACAGGGCCGTGAATCTAAACACTCAGAACAGTAACAGAAGAATGCTGCATTGTATTTTTTCTTATTCTCATAAACTCAATAAAATGTAACTTAAAATATTATTCCAGTCAGAAAGATTTCAGCTTCTGATTTTTCTATAGTGTTTCATAGTATTTCCCAAATTACATTTCATGGGATGGCGGTAACTAAATAGTTCACAAATTCCCCCAAAGGAAAACAGTATCAGAATTTTGTTCCTTAAAATATCTAGGTACTTACGGTTGTATCTAATTTTCTAGCTTTAAGAAATGACGTCTGAAATAAACAGCAATTAAAAACTGAAAAAAACAAAGGAGACACCCCCAAAAAAAGGCAATTTAAAAAACATCTGTAGATAAAGTGTGTCAGGTGTGAAAATGGAATGATGTCAGAGATACATGCTGAAGTATTTGGGATAAAGTGATACGTTATCTACAATTTGCTTTAAAATAACCTCGCACATATAGTAAACATACACACACATAAAAAAGTTAAAACAGTTGTGTGCATAGGGGGAGGAAAAGACTTAAAAACAGGAGTCCATGCCAGACATGATAGCATATGCCTGTAATCCCAAGACTTTGTGAGGCCAAGGCAGGTGGACCACCAGAGGTCAGGAGTTCAAGACTAGCCTGGCCAACACGGTGAAACCCTGTCTCTACTGCAAATATAAAAAATTAGCCAGGCATAGGGGTGCATGCCTGTAGTTTCAACTACTTGGGAGGCTGAGGCAAGAGGATCACTTGAACGTGGGAGGCAGAGATCGCAGGGAGCCGAGATCGCACCACTGCACTCCAGCCTGGGCGACAAGAGTGAGACTCCATATCAAAAAACAAAAACAAACAGCAGTCTAATGTGGGGATGGGTAATTGTTCAAGCTCATGATGCTACATTCGGTTCATTATATTATTCTCTCCACTTCCGCAGATGTCTGAGCACTCCAATTAAGAAAATGGAAAGGATAAAAAGAAAAAAGGAAAATAGATCTCAAGCTCTGGTACCAAAACTAGAAAGTCTCTTGAAAGCACTTGATGCAGGAACATACAGTCTGCCATCTGGTGAAAAACAGGTGTCTACAACTAAACAAATTGCTACTGCACTATGTGGTCTGGGCTCTGACTCTGGACTAACATGATGGGTACAGATGTCATAATAAGAAACATAAGACAAGACCCTTATGTCTTATGTTGACATCTGTAATGTTTTGCTCTTAATAGAAATAATTCTTTTTTATTATGTTTCTGACATGCTATCTGAAAAACAAAGTAATTCTTTTAATTCCTCTGCAAGAGAGATTCTGCTGTTTAACCTGTAAGTTATAACCAGTGTCTGATTAATGTGTTTTTTTTTTTTTTTTTTTTTTTTTTTAAATAACAATATTTTGGCTGGGCACAGTGGCTCACACCTGTAATCCCGGCACTTTCAGAGGGTGAGGTGGGTGGATCACGAGGTCAGGATTTCAAGACCAGCCTGGCCAAGACGGTGAAACCTTGTCTCTACTAAGAATACAAAAAAAAATTAGCTGGGCGTGGTGGCAGGCGCCTATAATCCCAGCTACTCAGAGGCTGAGGCAGGAGAATTGCCTGACCCAAGAGTCAGAGGTAGCAGTGAGCAGAGATTGTGCCACTGCACTCCAGCCTGGAAGACAGAGCACGACTCCATGTCTAAATAAATAAATAAATAAATTTTATCATTAAAATATTATTAAATTTTATCATAAAAAGTTTAGGAATTAAACTTAAAGGT